TCAGAAGTCTCACCCCCTTGCTGTACTGCTCCCCATCCAGATATCCAGCACTCTTGATTAGATTGGAACAACATTCCAGGGTTGGGCAAACAAACTGGTCCGACAGTATCTGTGAAGTAAGAATATAGTGATCAGCAAGTCTAAGTGAGAGAACATAAACAAAAAAGCCAATTTAATTAGGGAGTCTCCCACACAGGAGACCCACACTACATTGAATACGAGGGACTGCTGGTACACAGTAGCTCTTTTAAATAAAAAGGCTTCTCCCCTGTCCCTTTAGCTTCCTAACAGCTATGCAAACGTTGGGGTCACAAAGGCTGCCAGCCTGAGATCGCTGAAGACCTCTATATTCACAAGTATTTGAGACTGGGGAGGAGGAGGAGTGTAGGCTTCCACGTTTCTCAGCCTGCACCTAACGTTTCAGCCTCTGGGGATTCCGAGGGAGAGGAGTTCCCTCTCCATCACTCAAGGAACTGTTATTTAACTAACAAGTTGGTGCCAGGGAGGCAAAGGGGGGAAAATTGCCCAGGAGCCCGGGCAATTTAAAAGGGCCCAGTAACCAGCAGCTGCTGCCAGCAGTGCAGCTAGGCTAAAGCAAGCTTCCTACCTCACACCACGCTGATCTGAGAAGCGGTGGGCCACAGCCCCAGCAGGAGGTGTTGCTGTGCACTTCCCCCATTTTGAGCACCAACTCGGCAGCTCCCATTGGCCAGCTGCAGGGGGTGATGCCTGCAGGCAGAGGCCTGTGGCAGAGACACACACACCCTCATCCCCAGTCTAGGAGAGCTGTCACAGGGGTGTGCTGATCTGTTTTAGGAGCTGCCCAAAGTAAGCCCCACCCTTTTCATCCTCCCTGCCCTAGCCCAGAGCCTGCACTCAAACTCCCTCTCACAACCTCACCCCCTCCCATACCCAAACTCCCTCCCACAGCCTGCAACCACACTCTAACCTCCTGTCCCAGCCTGGTGAAAGAGATGGGGGGGGGAATGAACAATGGAAGGAGGGTGGATGAAAGGAGTGGGAATAGGCAGGGCTCTTGGGTTTGCAAGATGTGACTGTTGACAACCCTACCAGGTGGGCATGTGCAAGCCCTGGCTATGACGGAGGAGCACTCCCAGTAGCACAGTAAGCAGCTCATGGGGACCCAGCCAGCAGAGACACCATTGCTCAAATATCAGACAGACTGTAGCCATATGGGCACAGCTCCTGTGAGCATGGGAGCCCACTGTTCTGCCCCGAGGCCTGGCATTACTGTTGGCGAGCCTAGTTAGTGCTGACTGTTTTGACGTAGTTGGGTTTTTGTTTGTTGTTTTTGGTGGGGGGGGGGAGGTAGAGGGAGCAAGACATGGAGGTGAGACACTGATTCACTGGGACACAGGCTGAGGGCAAACATTGGTCAAGAATGCTTAATTCACATGAGCATTGTGTACTTTCCACGCAAAGTCCCATAGAAATTAGCATGCTGCTTCTTCCAGAGATTGCAAATCAGTTGTGTACCACATGTCTACTCAACCGTAATGTATTTGTTAAGCAAACCTTTGTCTGCACTCTAGCATGTAGGACTCATGCTATTCTTAGTGAAAGACACACTTGCCTATCATTAGCCAGAATTTTCTTCATGCTTTTCCTGTCATTTTTCCAAGTGCTGTGCACTGTTTTTCTTCATGGCATCTTAACTGAAAAGTCTTAGGACTTCAAATAATTTGAAAAGTCTCATGAATGCCTTCCAGTTTGGGGCAATGGAGTCGAGAGCATCCTCTCTGACATGTGGGTTACACAGGCATCTCTCTCTGGGTTTGCACTATCCACAGTCTTCCAGTTTTCACCTAGTTTGAAATGAAGCTCAGTGGCCAAGAAGAGCCAACCTCAGTTTTGCACACTCTTGCAGGGATCTGAAATTGTTTTGTTTCTTTCAGTAACCTGTTTTAGGTGGTCTTGATCCCCAGTGCACCATTCAGGGCAAGGTACAGAAGTTTGTAACAGAGCCTGGGAGTTCTGTACCTCCAAATGGACTATGATTTTAAGTGAATTTCATTATCAAGTGCTTTGTAGGTGTCTGCTATTTTGATGGACAGGACACTATGAGTTCTAGCTAGACTGAAAATCCCTGACAAATGGACAATGTTGGGTACGCACACTGAAGTTAGTGTTTTTCCCTATGCACTTCCTCTTTTCATAAAAAGATCTCTCATCATATTAGATACTTAAGTCCCATTTGCTGCAGCATACCCCTTGCACATACCGGCTCTCTAGAAGGCCACTTTGATTAGTTAATAAAATGACCAGGTCATCAACACATAGCAAGGATTTCATTTCTCATTCATTAAGAATCCTAGGGTCCAGCAGAGTTGGCAGGTTATTTAAGCACTGATGGCTGATAAAACATAAGTTTAATTGGGTGCAAATTTATTAGAGTTTCTATTTTGTAGCTGCTTAGCATTCAGTCCTGGCTCACTGACCATGTGTTATTAAAGTATCTTTCCATGCTTTGTCTTTTTCTCTCATTTTCTAAGTGTCCCAAAAGTAAGCCCTTCCTCTTTGATGGCTGACAACAATTAATAACTAAATAAATGAATGAAAGGAGGTGGGCAATTTTTGCAGCTGATTTTTTTTTTGGTGATAGCACCCAAACACAGAATACATACCAGTAAACCTCAGCGGTGTCTGTAACTTCATCAGGGCAATGTCATTGTCTTTAGAATCTGAATTATAATTTGGGTGGGAAATTATTTTCGTCACTTTGTATCCGCTTCTGTAGCGTGTTTCTGATTGTGTCAGAATCCCAGCATACACAGTCCAATAGTATGGAGAAGAAAGCTGTCTAGAGAGTAAAATAAGATTATTTGCTTCTGTGTTAACCCAAAGTCCCATCTACTCTCTCTTGCAACAATCAAATGATTTCAGATCTCCCTGACTTTTATCCACAATCAGTGGCGCTGGAACTACTTTACACATTTTCACCCCTCACTGCCCCAGGCTGAGGAGCTCCAGGCAGAGGCCAAGAGCAGAGTCCTAAGCTGTTGGAGGGTCCCAGCAATAGTGGAGCCTCCAGGGCTGATGGCCTAGACCCAGGAGCCAGTGAACTGCAGAGCTGTCAGGGACAAAGCGCAGCGAAGCCAGCAGGGCCGTTGGGACACTGGAGGCCTGTTGGGACCCTGTAGGCTGCTAGGAAAATATTAGAGTCCAGGATCTCCATGGCAGTATTCTCTGAAATGAATCCAGTTTCACATACAGGCCAGTTAGACAGGCCGAACTGCAGAGTCTCTGTGCGTAGATGAGACAGTGATGTTCAGAAGAGGAATTTGGGTTTAGCAGGAAGTGATGAACCTTTTGGGTAAGGTAGAGCTTATACAGAAAGGACAGGCTGTACCTAAACCAAAATGGAAGCAGACTGCTGGCAATTTAAATTAAAAAGGCTGTAGAGGAATGGTCTGCAGTGTAAGAAGTTGGGCCTGTTCGAAGAGATCTGTTTGGGGTTCTGGCTCAATACTTTCATCACAATGACTTAGATAATGACATTCACTTGTAAAGTTTGCGTAGGATACCAAGCTAGGAGGGGTTGAAAGTGCTTTGGAGGATAGAATTGTAATTCAAAATGATCGGGACAAACTGGAGAAATGATCCGAGGCAAATAGGATGAAATTTGACAAGCACAAATGCAGAGTATTGCCCTTAGGAAGGAACAATCAGTTGCACAGATACAAAATGGAAAGTGACTACTTAGGAAGGAGTACTGAGAACAGAGATCTAGGGTTCGAAGGGGAAGCTAAATAGGAGTTAACAGCATGACACTGTTGAGGGGGGAAAAAAAAGCAAACATTATTCAGGAATGTATTAGCAGGATGGTCTAGATGGTGCTTGGTCCTGCCATTAGTGCGAGGGTGTAGACTGGATGACCTCTCAAGGTTCCTTCAGTTCTACTATTCTGTGATTGCTGGAGATGTTGTGAAGGCAAAAGTAAACTGGGTTCAAAAAGGAATTAGGTACATTCATGGAGGCCAGGACAATCAATGGCTATTAAGCAAGATGGCCAGAGACAGAATGCCATGCTCGGACTGCTAAACGCTGGGACTGGACAACAGGGGGTGGATCATCCCCCTCAGTAAATTGCCCTGTTGTTCTATTCACTCCCTCTGAAGCATCTGGCACTGCCAGTGCTGAGAGAAACAACACTGAGCTAAATGGATCATTGGTCTGACCCAGTATGGCCCTTCCCATGTTCTCCTGTCAGATCCCCAAAACTCCTGCTCGGGTGCCACTGAAAACTGTATGTGCATCCATGCTGTCTCCTCAGTCCTGAGCTGCTTTGTCATCTCAGCACCTAGCTCACACTTAAGATACACTGGGATTCACAAACTAGGCATTCCCCACCTACCTCATCTTCAGAAACTGATATGCTCTGAGAGCACCTTAAAGCAGAATCACTGGATTGGGTTCACAAAAGCCAGCCAGAAGAGATGGTGGTCATTTACACCCAACAGCACAGTGGTTAGGGCACTCATCTGAGAGGTGGGAGACCTGGGTTCAAATCCTCTCTCAATATCCAGCAGAAGGAGGAACTGAACCCAGTCTCTGACATTCTGGGTGAATGCTCTAATGATGGGACACCTGACTATCAACCACCACCAGAGAGAGACTCCTAAACCAGGTCAGTCCTAACTCCCAGGAAAGGCACACAGTAGTGAGTCTCAGGTGGAGATACAGACTTTTCTCAGATCCAAAGTTAGACACTGACATCCCTCGGAGAGGTAGGGCTTAGCACCCACCCCTCTCCTTACCATTTTCTATTGGCTAACTCAGGCAGCTCCCTGCTCAGCTTGCTGCTTTTGTGTGGATCTCATCCTTAGTGCATAATACTCCCCACGGTATTGCATAGGGAACCTGGGTACTGATGATTCCACTAGGGGCAACGTGCCTAGATTTAGGCATTGCAGTGCTGAACCTTAGTCCTCTGTGGCTCTCACCCTCAGAACAAGATGGGAAAGGCAACAGAAAACTACTGATTTTTATAGCATGAATTTACAATATGGGCCCGGGTCATATTTAATATTTCTGGCAGAGATTCTAAGAGGTCTTAAGGGAAAGACTGTATGAACTACACTGCTGACCCAGGCAAACAGCTTAAAAATTGCATCCATTTTCCATGGTGATGATACATTTAAATAAAAAAATTGTATTGAAAAGCAGAGGTAATTAGTATTTTGTATGGTCTTAACTGGAATTAGCTTTGTGCTTTCTGAAGTAGGTTTCTTCCCCCAAGCAATCAGCATAATTACGCAAAGCTCTCTGTATCCTCAAGTGTACCCTATATTATATAGCAGGGCTGGATAAAATAGTGCCTGCAGGGCAGATACAGTCCATCTAACATTTCTGTCCAGCTGGCCATGACTCCCGGTAACTGCAGCTCTCAAGCTACATTAGGGTCTTTCTTCAGCCTGGAAATTGTGAGAGGGCAACTAAAGTCCCACAGCGCAGTGGGGCCCACTGTGGAAACTGACCAACGGGAGCTGCTTGAGGTTGCAGGCACAACACCGAGGGCCACTGCCTCTCTCCCCCAAGGGGCTTGCAGAGATATGCCAACAGCAGCCAGCCGCTTCTGGGAGCAGTAAGGGGCCATGGCAGGCAGCCAGCCTGCCTAAGCCATGCTGCACCACTGACCGAGAGCGGTCTATGATAAGCACCACCCAGCCAGAGCCTACACCTTGCGCTCCCTCCTGCACCCAAACTCCCTCCCATTAATTAATACAGTACAAATAGGAGGCCTGTGACAACTTACCAAAATTCATGAAGTGGCCCCCCACCAAGAAAATTATTGTCCACCCCTGCCATATAGGGATGTACAATTTAAAAAACAAAAAAAAAACAAAAAACAAAAAAAGAGAGAGAGAGAAAGGAGCAGACCCCATCCATGACAGGAATGGAACAGATGTTTCCCTTTGAAGGAAACAGCTAATTTCCAATTACCCTCTTACTAAATGATTTTCCTTTAATAGGATTTAAAATGGTGAGAAGTTAGAATACTATAGAACTGCAGTGTCCAACCAGTTCTGAAGCAGTCGTCAACTATAGTGGCTAATGCTACAGCAAACTAGCCACACTCAACCAGCCAAATCACCAGTATGGCTAGTGGCTAGCTGCTGGACACCACAGCCATAGAACATACATGCAGATCGTCTCTCCCTACCCCCACGTGCACATGCAATCGGTGCAAGATGTGTGTGGACAACGGGGGGAAAAATGATCAATTCCATTT